CACCCTCCCCCGCCGGACGCCGCTTTCCCCGGGAGCCGGAGCTGAAGGGAAGGAAGGAGTGGGCCGCCGCTCACCTTCCCGGCTGCACAGGTCGCTCCTTCTTCCCGAAGCGGCGAGCGTGGAGCTGGCGCTGGAAGCCCGAACCTGCGGTGAACTAGCCATGGCGAGTGAGGACAAACAAGTTGTTCAGCCAACAGGTGATGATGGAGGAGGAGGAGCGGGAAAAGAAGGAAATGCTGCTGAAGGGGGAAGTGTGCTGCAGCCTTTGAATCCAGGAGTCCCCATCCGAGGTATCAAGATGAAATTTGCGGTGCTGACAGGACTGGTGGAAGTTGGTGAAGTGTCCAACAGAGACATAGTCGACACTGTGTTTAATCTGGTAAGTTGATTGCCAGAATGAGGGAGAAGAACAGCACGGACATGCAAAAGAATCCCACAGTTTTTTGGTGTTATCTTTCTGTTAGTAATTTGTTACATGTTTACACCTTCATCATACTGGATTTCAACTAAGTTGTTTTTACTTATCACAAAAGCTGAAAAAAGAAAAGGATGTGAGCTTCTAAACATGCATACTTAAACTTGAAATAGCTCTAAACAGCATCCTCCTTAGTTAGCCTCAGAGAAATTGTTGCTTTATTTAGAGCTGGGAAGCGTATTGTTGTGTTTAAACATTTAACAGATATGCTCAACAAGAAAGTTAAATGTTAATTTAGTAACTCAAACTGTCATCAAAACATACATATTGTCGTTCTAAGTGAAAACAAGTTTTCCCATGAAGATATTTACACCCCTCTTTGCTTTTCATTTGCTTTGGAGGTAGGCAGAACTTCCATGTACAGGGGATGAGGGTTTCAGGGAGCAGTTCATTCAAATTCGTTACATAGTCTGCTTGTTGAGAAGAGTAGAATGTGGTTTCAGTGTCCTTTTTTTATTAATGAATTAGGGAGTCAGCTGCTATTTTTTGAATACTATGTGGATGTGTTTAGTACTTCATAACAGATCTCACTAAAAATTGAGGATACAACTTTTCCTGCTGAAGCTACAGACATCAGATATATATGTTGAACTTCTTGGGCCAATTGCTTCAAGTTGCAGTTTGCCTAAAGCAATTGGGCTGGTTAATAGTGTTTCTTTGATGCAGGAGACTGGTCATTAGGAGAAAAACTGCCTTTAAGTTTACAAAGATACTCTGCTATTATCAGAGGTCTTAATGCATCTCTAAAAATACCTGTCGTCGCTCCTCCTTCCTTTAAGTGAGCAGCTTTGACTTTGAAACAATGTGGTTTCTGACAAACCAGGAAGTGAGAGTGTGTAAGAGCATAAAGCTCAGTAACAAGAAAAGTTGAGGCAAAAGTCATACTGGGTTTTTTAAATGCTGTTTGCATTTCAGTTATTTTGTTAGTAGCATTCCTTGCTACGTGCAAATTTTAATGGTCACTAAATATTTGTGGGCTGTGTCTGTTTAATGTTTTTCAGTGTTATCTTCTTGGGTTATGGCGAAAGTTTATTTTTTGAATGTTTTTGTACAATGTTGTGCTCTAAATTGTTTGCATGAAAGTCTCAGTACAGGGGAATTGAAGTAGTGACAAAAATAAAGTGCATATCAGAGGTTTCATGGATGCTTCAAGTATGAGGAAGTGATTTAAGTTACTTGGAGTCCACTTGACTATTGTTCTGGACAAAACCCAGTGTTTAGATATAAGGACATGAGGTTCAAAAGGAAATTCTGGTGAATAGTTTATGATTTAGGACACTTGTGTGAGGGGAAATTGTTCATGAGCGTGTTAAATTTTACCTTGTTTCTAGTGCGGTCTTTTGAGGGGTGTACTGGAGGTGTATTTCATGGCAGCAGTGGAAAGAGGTTCAGCAGAATAATTAAAAATGTAAAAGCTTCTTTATTCTGGGATTCCTGTTCTGCTCCATTTTGAACAAGAGATGAGCAAAAAAATTCAACTTGATTCAGAGAATCCTTGATTTTAGGTTTAAGAGGTCTGGAGAAATGACCTATGGACTGCATTTTCCCAGATCTTCATTTCCTAAAAAGATAAAGGAGAGTTTCTGGCCCTGGAAGCCTTTGAAAGTGCGTTCTTACTTTTTCTGCAAGTGAAACAACACTCCTGACCTCTCTGAGAAGATTCCTCAACAGTTTTAGCACACCTGCCTGCAGTGTGGGAGGCTAAAGGTCAAGCTCGTGTCCCACGTTATTTTGTCAGTTGATAGGTATCATGAAACAACCAATAGTTTGGTAGGTTTTTTTTGGTAAAGACTGTTAAGCTGACTTTTTAATGTAGCTTTTCAGGATATGAGGTGTCCCTACAAAGCAATACTCCTTCACCTGTCACTGAGTTTTACCTCTGTTCAGTTGTTAGCTGTGACCACTTCATTTTGTCGGTTAATACCACTGACATCACACTGATCAGAATGTAAAGCATGTGAAGTATTGGTTAGCATTAGTGTGCTTATTTTTCTGTGTGTGCATACAGAAAATATGCAACTTTTATTGTTAACTGTGGCTTTTCCAGTAGTTTGTTTCCCTCTAGCTTTCAGAGCAGGTTTACTTGTGTGTGCAGGTTCAACTGGAATCATGCCGTGATCTCTTGTTACTAATGGGGTTAAGCCCAACGGGTTTCATTCTTTTTGGTGACTCATAACTGCACTACCTCAGGGGTGTGAGCACAAATCAGCTGCCCTGCTTCTTGTACTTTGAAAAGAGGAGACATACCGTATTCAGGGGATTTTTTGATCACTAAAGTGACAAGTGAGATGTCTTTAGACCAAAGTGCAGGCAGGGCTGGGCAAATCTTTGTCGAAAGGTTGGTTTTACATATTCTTTATAGCATAACCACTCTCAAATGTGAAGGGTTTGTTTTTTAAAAAGGGATGTTAGCTGGCCTAATTTTAATTTCTTGAGAAAACATGTTGCTCTTAGTTATGCCCTTCAAACTTGCTGTAGTGTATGGAGGGAAGTACTGTCTTGATGTTTCTTGTCTTTAAGTATTTAAGAGGTGGTCATGCTTTATATGTGAAAGACTCAGAAGGTCAAAAATCTAAAGTGCACAATAATTGACCTGCTGATTATTGAAGACATTTAAGCTTCTGTAGTCCTGACTGCTGAAGCAAATACCTTGGTTAGTTCAGCAGTGTTGGGTCTTGGAGCTGAGAACGACATACAAAATTTTCTCTGTCCAGCAGCGTAACAGAGTGCTTAGGGATGCATGTTTCTAGCATGCATCAAAAACCTACTGGTGTCATTTTATTGTCTTTGGAAATTCTATTCTTAGAAATATTCAAATTGATCTGCTTTGTTTTGGTCAGTATTTTTGATGAATATAGTTTTCCGGCCCATGTTAGATGTGGCTTTGTGTATTTCAGCACCTCTTAAAATTGAAGAGGGAAATACAGATTTCAAAGAGGATGGTTATTCTGTGAAAAACTTTGAAAGCACATTCTTGTTCCAGTATTAATCTGTTCTGTTACTTTTTTTTACAGAATGAGCTATATAATGAATATATATTCCTTGTGCATTGTGAATTTGTTTTTAATTGACTTTGGGCAGCAATTAACTCCTTGAAATTCCTTTGTATACAAATCAGGTGAATTTCTGTACATGACCTTGTATATGCCCCCCCCCCTTAACTCCTGGTAGGAGAAGATGATAGAATGGAAAAATAAATTACGTACAGTGGGGTCTGTTACTAACTTATAATAACTATGTGGTTTTCATAGTAAAACAGAAAGACAAGTTGACTTGCTATTAAAGAAAAAAACTTCTAGATGGAGTTCTAGAAATAATTCAGCAATTAGCAAAAGTTAGATTTCTAGATTTCTGATTTTTCTACACCTGAAGTTCTCAGGTGTAGAGTATGAATTCTGTTCTGAAGGCTACACAACCTGCACTGGAAATACAGGAGGTCCTGCAAAGTCTTTTCTAGGTTGAAACTCCGAGTGGTGCTTCTCATTTACTCTGTTCTAAACAGGCTTGTGTTGTATCATATGTCAGTGTTGTCCAAGTTATTGCAAGTTTCCTGTTTATATATAAAACCGAGGCCACTGGATATCCTTGTCTTTCAGTAGGTAAAGAGTTCTCACTGGCAGGTGTTTAGTTCATAACGAGTGCTGTATGTGCAGGGTTAACTGTGCTGTGTTATTGGGCTTGCAGAGGGAAGGGGAAGGTTCTGGAAAAATTCTGCTACACTTCAAGCAGATGACTGTGCAACTGTTGTCCTTCTCTGTGGTGTTGGTATAATTCAGTTTGGGGACTTCGTGCCAGAATTTACTTGGGTCTCAAGTTGACTAGTGTGTATTCTGCTCTTCTCTAAAGAAATGTCGTGCCTTGCTCTAAGCCAATTTTGTTTTAAAAAGCTTTAGTGCTTCTAATTGTTTTATTGAATATGGTATAGATTGTTATTTGATTTAGTTCAATTTTTTTTCCCCTCAATCTGTGTTGCAAAGGCTTGTTTTCTAAATGTTCTGTCTCTTCGGTGAGGAGAATGTGCTGTTCCTTCTGATTCTGTTCATGGATTATGAGGTCCTCATAATCCTAGAGTTCTCTAGTGCAAATGAGAGAAATATTAGTTTTTATCACCTTTGGAGGAAAAAAAATATGAGATATGAGGAGCAGAGATTAAAATTATTTTGTAAATTTCATTTGTCACCTCTTTCACTTCTGCCAGACTTTACTAAAACCACAAACAAAAGTCAATGTAACTTAAAAATTCTTACAGTTTACTTTCCTGCTGATACCACAGGTTTCTAATTTGGTATGGGTGCTTCTGGAACGTTAGTACAATGGATTTTTATGAAGTATAAATTCCCCTTTTCTCATCTTTGGTCACAGACTCATTTTGTGTGTACCATCTTGTAGAAAACCCACAAAGCTAACGCTGATAGAATTAGATGTATTGCAGTAGTAAAATTGCACCACAAATGTCTTTATAACAATGCATTCTTTTCATTACATTATTGTATGTTTTTAGAGACTGCTAGACTTTATTTTCTACATAAAGTTACCAATGCTGATGACAAGTGAGAGTAACCAAGTAGTTTCTAGAGCATTGCTGAATATTGTGGATTTCTTAATATATGCAGTCTTCCCTAGTAGGTGCACCTCTGGCTACAGATATCCTAGTTCAGTCACTTCTGTCCACTCACAGTATAGATGATAAGGTAAGTCTGTGGCTTTAGCTGGGTCAAGCTTGTAGGGTTTTTTTTTCTTTTTAAAAATCATAGTAAATTGAACAGTCAGCTGTCTTAGTGGTTGTGCATGGTTTGACTCTTGTTGAGTGAGTGGAATTCAGCAAAGTATCTCTGTTGCTTCCCAATCTGTCTCAAAGTCCCTCAGGTGCAAACTTACTTCTTGCTGGCCCTTTCAGAGTGGGA